ACACAAGTACAACTTGTGGCGTAGGTGGTGACTGAATGAAGAAGAAAACATTCTTACCAGAATTAATGTGAGTATGTTTCTAAGATGAGCTATTACAGCGAGCTCAGTACTTCAGCTGTCTCAGCTGTCACCTGGATCTCATGGACCAAAACTAAAACTGCAAATGCAGTATGTCTAGTTGTGATGCTAGGTGATAATTCTGGCATACTTGTGACTAAACTGGAACATTCACTTTTTTTACAACATATAAATAGAATTTTAAAGGTGTACCTTTGTACTGTGGTCTTTGGAGTTGCTTTTGACTATATAAAAGGTTTCTTGAAATCCAATCTAAGTCTAAAACTATTGTCTTAGAGATCTGTAAAGTATAAGAAAAATATTTGGCAATAAATCATGCTAATTCTTCTCTTCAAGGTTTTTCCACCTGCTTTCAGGGAATTGCCTCCTCCCCCTCTGGAGCTGTTTGACTTGGATGAAACTTTTTCCTCTGAGAAAGCTCGTCTTGCAGAGATTACAAACAAATGTAAGCAGAGCAGACTGATTATTTACACATTTATATATAAAGTCCCAAGTTTTTGGAGGAAAATTGTTGTTATATTTAATTTTAAAACATAGGCCTTGTTTATGAAAATCCACTGCTCTCATCCTGGGCCAAGAAATTGGAAGGCCTTGGAAACTGATAACAGGACTTTATGTACCATGACATTTTATTTGGCTTGTTACACGACATTTTATTATGTTTCTGCCTGCTGTTTCCTGTATCATGCATAAATTACTTTGCACACTCTTGCTGATTTATTTCACATCTTTTTGTCCTTTGAAGTTAAAATGTTCAGGTCTTTAAATCTAAAAATTTTGAGAAGTACTAGCTGCAAGAATGTATCATGGCTAGTCTACTGAACTTAGTTATAGGACTTAACCTCCCAGAATACCAACAACAAGTGGAGATTGGTAGTACATTTTTGCCCAGCTGATACGGGTATGTGTGATATTCAACTGCCACCTTCTCTGGGATGCTTCTTTAGGTTCTGATGATGACCTGGAGTTTTACATACGAAAATGCGGTGATATCCTAGGAGTAACAAGTAAACTCCCAAAGGAGAAGCAAGATGCCAAACATATCCTGGAGCACATCTTCTTCCAAGTGGTTGAGTTTAAGAAACTGAATCAGGTATTTTTAATAACAGAATTACAAATGAATGGTTGGTAGTATCAGCACTGATGCTGGTTGTATCTTTATAGCAGCTACACTTGTCACAGCAAGAGGTATGTTGATGTGTTAAAACATTTGTTGTTAGACCAGTGAAGTGTGATCCAGAGTACTTATGACTGTTAATCTGTGTATGTGTAGCACTCAATTTTAGTCTCTCATTTATTTTGATTGGGGGATGTTGTGGTTTAAACCTGGTTGTCAGCCAGACACCACGCAGCCACTCGCTCACCCTTCCCTGCCCAGGGGATGGGGGAGAGAATTAGAGGGTTAGAGGTTAGGAGACTCATAGGTTGAGATGAAAACAATTTAATAATTGAAATAAAATTAAAATAATAACAATGATAGTGATAGAACATCCAAACAAGTGATGCACAGTGCAGTTGCTCACCACCCATTGACCAATGCCCATCCCATTCCTAGCTAGCAATCCCAGAGGAGAGAAAATCTAGAAATTGCAATCGTGGAAGAGAGAGAGAGCAGCTTCCTGGCCAACCCTCATCTATAGACTGAGCATGACATCATGGATATGGAATATTCCATTGGCCAGTTTCAGCCCATTGCTCTGGTTGCTTGTGTAGCTGAGCACTGGTAGGACATGGGAAGTTGAAAAGTCCTTGATTTCTTAGCAACAGCTAAAAACATCAGGTATTATCAACATTATTCTCATACCAAATCCCATACTGAATCTGAAACACAGTACTATTCTAGCTACTAAGAAGAAAAATTAACTCTCTCCCAGTTGAAAACAGGACAGAGAATTAATACATGCAAGTGTAGTTTTGGTAATTTCAGCTAAATGCAGTTCATTAATGGTGTGTTGTGTAACAGCAGTATGCCCTCATGAATGTCCACAGTGCTTGCTAGTGCTCCAGTGTAGATGTGAAACCCTTGTTACTCACAAGCAGTACCGTGTTGAAATAATTAATTATATTAAATTTGATGCTTCAGAGTCTGTGTGGAACTTATTGGCAGATCAAGTGTTTCTACTAGCAAGTGTTCCTGTTTCTCAAATAGTCTAGTTAAGAGAAAAATCTGACATTCCTGCCCTTTTATTAAAATTCTTTTTTTCTTTTTTTTTTTTCTCCTTTCTCCATTTGCCTTACCTAAGGAACATGATACTGACACAAGTGAAGCTGGATTCCAGAATGGTAACTGAGACCTGGCTTTCACCAGTTTGAGATTTGACCTTTTAGTAAAAACATACTTTTCCATTTTTTTCAACCTCTGTGTTCAGTATATTGATTGGGACTGTCCCAGTAGTCTACTGAATGTTTGGATCATTTATGTGTAGTAGTTTGGGTAATTAATGCCTTTTGAAGAAGTGCTTGTATTTTGCAAGCTCTTTCAAATAATTTCCTATTTTTCTACCTCTTTATTGAAACTGTAATTTTGTAATATATGAAAAAATCTTATACTAAGAAAATGTGGTTCTGGTCCTTCTTTCTGGCTCCTGTATTTATTTTTTTGTAGTCAGGCTTACTGTGTGTTCTCCTGCTGTACATGTAGTCCTTAATTGCACTGTGGGAAAGGTTGTTATTTTGGTTTGTGAGTTGTGGGAAATACAGCCATAAATACAGGAGCTGCTGCACATATGCTATCCTGTCACCCCGAGGCAGTCTCCTTTTGTCTCTCTGCCGAAGTGAACAAAGGAGAGATGGGTTTGTCACTATAGAAGAACATTTCTCCAAGGGAGGGGAAGGATTGAAATTAAGCAATAATGACACTGTTGCAGATCACTGCCTCGTATAAGACTGGAAATACGTCATTTTGAAAAGAAGAGACAGCATTTGAATGAAAAGGACTTTAAGATTTAATGGATCATTATTAAGAAAAAGTGTAGAAACTCAGGAATATTTTTCCTTACCATTATTTGTTTTCTAGCCCATTCCCAGGGAAATGGTGAGCTTGGTAAAGCACAGGAATGGAAATTCAAGTGAAATTCATTGACCATGAAATGTTGAAACTCAATGCACAGCAAAAATACAGCCAAGGATAGGAGTGGTGAGAAGAAAAGATTTGTCAATATTAACACTGTGTCTGTGTTGCAAGGGCTTCTTTTACATCGACACTGAAATTGCACTTGACATCCAAAAAATTTCATATTTAATCTGGCACCCAAACTGTGCAACTTAAATTCTTCCCCTGCTCAAGCCTTGTATGCAGCCTTTGTGACACCTGTGCTTTATCTTGCTCTGCCATGTGTTTTAATGTCAAAGCTGCTTGTTGCAGAAGATCTGTTCATCTCTTATCCTGCAAAGAATCTTTTGATTTTATGATGCTTCATGCTTCGCATGCCAGCTTGGCACAGGTTTTTCTAAAGGACCTGCCCTAAAGCACCTGCTCATTTACTGCCTGGTTGAGATTGTGCCACTACATTTGCAGAAGTGGTTGTGTCTCTTCTTACACTGTGGAGATTCCTTTTTCTTAGCAGTATGTTTGAATTTTTTCATTTGTTCCTCTTTCATTTATTTTTCTTTAAGGCTATGGTTGTGTTTGTCACACACAGTACTTTGTACATTCCAGCTACAGGTTTACACAACATGCCTAATCTTTTCTCTGCGGTATCAATACCAATCAGTCAACCAGCACAAACTGCAGTTGAACCAAACAACTGTGTGATCCGCTTCCTAATTATAGATCTGGGCTGTACTGTTCTGTGGTGTTTATACTTCAAACTGTAAATACATTTCCTTTCTGGGCCCTTTTGCTGAGTTGTTTTGTCACCTGTTCCTGATGTTGTAACATGGTTTTGAAAAAAGTCATCTGAGCAGACAGAGAGAATACAAGCAGCTCCCTGTTTACTGTTTGCCTGTAGTGCCACTGACAGCTGAAGTAAAAGAGTGTATTTTTTTCACTCAACTGATGTTTTTTTGGCCATGAGCTCTAGTGTGAAATATATGTGGAGGCAATAGTTTGCATCTCTTTCAAAGCCGTCCCTTGGGCCTCTGGAAATATTTAAACTGGTACTTTGTAAACAGAAGTGCTTGCTTTGGTCATGGGAGTATGGTACACACAAAGTTTGTGGCTGATTGACAGAATTTTGAAGGAGTACAAGCAGGTGAGAGTTTTCAAGAAGCAATGCTCAGCACTGGAAGGTTAGGGACACAGCTAGCCACGGAGTTTATGCAGTAATGAAATTACTGCTGTAACTCACTGAAGTTGGTTCCAAGCAGCTATTGCGGCTTTCCCTTTACGTTCTCTGTCCTCTTACGCAACATGACTTCTCATCCTTTAGTCTGTCCCTAAAAGAAGAAGGGGGAGTGTATATTGGTTCTTCAGGAAACTAAATGCCCTGGAAAGCTGGTTTTAACAAGTAATGCTCATGTCTTCACGTCTGCTGTAAGCAGCAATTGCGGAGAGGGGAAAAAGGAAAGCGAGGAAGTGGCTGTGTAAGGGGGAAGGAAGCTCTATGAGCAGCGCAAGAAAACCTGGGCCGGGGGTGGGCTCGTTTCTTCCCCTCGGACCCGCGTGTGGAAGTTAAAGAGTCCCCGGCTCGGGGTCGGCAGATACTTGCGGTGCTGGGACGAGGATTAGAATCCCGCACAGAACCGCTGGCGGGCGGGTGGCACAACCGCGGGGCTGCGGAGCCCTGCGCCCGCTTCCAGGAAGCTGCTTTCGGCCCCGCTGCCCCGTGAGAAGCGGCGCGGTGCCGCTGCTCGGGCCGGGCCCGCCG